GTAAGAGAACGGACTTTCTGTTTGAGACTAAATGTTTTTTTTTTCACACCCCCGGGACATCTGCGGACGCGGCGCGCTTTGGTGTGATTTCTGAGGTGGATTCGCGCTAATTGGCTCCGGCGCAAAAAATAAAACAAAAAAATAGCTGCTCCCCTCAGCTGAGATGTGGGAACAAACAATGGGTTTGCCCAGGCGCAGTGGTCTATCAGCCTCCAACACACGGTGATTAAATCACCCAGATAGCAGCTCCCCGTATCGCTGACGAAAAAACCAGAGCGTAAAGATTTGCGCTATTTACGCGGCAGGGATAACAGATGATTGCAGATCGATCAATTAAGATGATCAGCTCTGTATCCGCCCACAAACCTGGCCGCATGTTTACCGTGCGGTGTGTGTGTGTGTATGTGTGTGTGTGTGTGTGTGTGTGTGTGTGTGTGTGTGTGTGTGTGTGTGTGTGTGTGTGTGTGTGTGTGTGTGTGTGTGTGTGTGTGTGTGTGTGTGTGTGAGACCACCTTCATCTGCTGTCAAAATGACAATCAGTCAGCTTCCGAGACGGGATTGATGATGCTGAGGAAGGCTGCTAATCCTCCTCAAACATCCAGACTTCCTTTCTTTAGACCCACATTGATTCATTAAATTTTAAAAAAGTGCAGAAAGTTAAAGTTAAACTGTTATTTCTCATGGATTTTAAAACATTATATAAGCATTATCCGCCTTAAAATTCCTTCCTATTTGTTTGAATCTACTTTTGAAAAGTACATTCACACTCTAACATTTCACAGTTATCACTGTTTGGTGCAGAATGGGTTAGAAATATTGCTGCAGAGGTCTGAAACCCCTCTGGAGATGCACATAATGAAGCACGAGCTGCCAGTTAGAACTTTTTGCAGTTTTCCATCATTTTATTGTTTGAGGACATTGAAAACTCAGTAATTAATTTAAATTTTAAGCACAGTTTATGTGTTTTGCTGATTATATTTAGTGGTGGAACAGCTTATGCTCGAGATTTCATGGAGTTGAATTACCGTAAATCCTCTAATACAGGCCCGGGCCTGTATTTGACTCAAGCTAATAAAGCTCCAGGCCTTTATTGGAAGGAGGGCCAGTATTAGAGGCAGGCCTCTATTTCTATTTGAGCAAAATGAACTAATGGTTCGCTGGAGTTTTTGACAATTAAAAGTGCGCCCACATTTTCAAAGTTAAACACATTTCTTTTAACAACGGTAATTCCTGCTTCAGTCCTCTCCCCCCTCCCCCTGCGCAGCGGCCGCAAACTCACTGATGCGCCTGCAGCCTCTCGGAGTTCCTGCTGCTCTAAACATTAAAATAATTATTTCATTTTCTGTTCCTCACTTCTGATGACCTTCAATGGTGTCTGTTTGTTGCAACAGCAGGTACAAAAACTAACTTGTTTTTATTTGACTATTTTTCTGTCCTGTCTGTTTATTATCTTCCTGCATCTCCTCTCAATCCTAAAGAAAAACTGCTACCTGGGTTCATATATATACATATATATTCACCTCATGAGTTACCTTTGAACTGCAGTTCTAAAAGATCTACTGACCGCTAAAACAGCGGAGCGCTTGCCGTTTGGCGGATGTATCAGTGATCATGCGTCAGAGGACAAGGTGATGCGCGCAGCGCTCCGCTCCACAGCATGCAGCGAAACACATCAGGCGCAGATAAAAGACAGAAAACATTAAAGGAAATGAACTGACATGAACGATCGCGTGTTAAATTAGTTTTTGAGGTGGCGACACCTGATTGTTACTGTGGCCGTGCTCAGGAGGCAGATCTACCGACCGCGAAAACAGCTGAGCGCTCCCTGCTGTGATCTGTGCGTCGGAGGACAAGTTGATGCGCCCCGCTCCACAGCAGCGATACACATCAGGCGCAAATAAAAGACAGAAAACATTAAAGGAAATGAACCGACATGAACGATCGCGTGTCAGTACCTACGGTCTGGCACTTGAGTTTTACCCCCAAAAAGAGAATGTGATCATACGATAATTCAATAGGGAGCGTGGTTTCACAGACGCGGAAGTGATAGCGTCGGTGCTCTAGGAAACCCCCGAGCGTTTGAGCGTCAACGAAGTGACACGGAAATGCCGGGCTTTCCAGAAGTAAGTAAGATAACTTACTATGAGCTGATAGTTCGTTGGATTGATCGGTAGGTTGGAAACTCTGATCGTGAATCTGAAGAAACGATGACTGAGTGGTGAGCTGGAAAGGCGACTTCCGTTTGTAGCCGCGGTTTGTGACGTAGGTGCGACGTGAAGGGAATCCCCGCGAGGGGCATGCTGGGAGTCCCTACTTCGCGGATTTTCACCTATCGCGGCCAGGTCTGGAACGCATCTACCGCGATAAACGAGGGATTACTGTAGTTCACACAACCCCTACTGCTGCTCCCCAGAGTGTTCTGCAGCATAATCAGCACGTTCTCTTTGAACTTGATAGTGTAATGACCTGGCTGGGGTTGTAAGCCAGGTGCATTCTGGGTATTGTGTTATATGTGTTTCCTATCGTTCTGCTAGTTCCTATGTGCTATTTTGCGTGTTGTGTGAGTGTTATGTAAGCCACAGGGAAGGTGATGTGTGTTCTGTGGAGCGGGTTGAATTAGCATGGTTAACTGACACCGTGACTCTGTGTGGTAGGAGCGTGATAGAGGATCGTGTCTGTAGCGTTACAAAGCATTGAAGAAAAAGCCTAAAAAAAGGTCTGCGTGAACTTCTACTGCCTCCTGCTGGTTGATTTGGGGACTACAACCCTGCCGCTGGGAGCTTGTACTTGCTTGTTACCACATTCCATCCGGCCACAATAAGAGACCGGCCATTATTTGCCTCCGCTGACTCCGACACCGGCCAGAATTGGAGACCCGGCCTTTAATTGAATGCCGGCCTGTATTGGAGGATTTACGGTAGCTCGTTCCTCATGCCACACAATGTGCGGCACAATCAATCTGAAAAATTACTGAAGGAATGTCCCCTGAAAGAGGGAGTGGTCCATTTTTTTGGACCCACTTTGAGTATCCATGTGCCAACAGCTTCTTGGCTTCAGGTCCGTCATCATTTGAGTAAACCTTCTGGCGCCTGATGGGTCGTTATGGGCTCTCCTCTCCTATCGGATCCTGACAGGAATGTTTGTGGATGTACAGCGGCGTATCTAATCTTAGCATCTCTACTCAGTCGCAGCAGATAGCTGAGAACTAAACAAAACACTCCTCCTCTTTAGTCACTGATGAGTCAGTCCCACTCTATAGCACTGATGTGTCCTCCTCACCTCCTCCTGCTTTGATTAGAGGAAAACCCTCATTACGCTGCTCAAAAGCTACTGTATTCATCTCATTCCCATCATGAGCGCGCTCCAGAGCGGGCCGTGAGCGTTGAAGGTAAAATCTGGGCCGGGATGAGAGTGATGAAGAGACGGGTAAGGTGCATGGTGGGGTTGGGGGGTTGATGCAGTATTTGGGCCTTGAGGAGTTTGTGTGTGGGGGGGGGTTGCTGCCACTTGAGAGATGCTGTTGGACAGTTCTGCATTATGTATGGGTAGCATCGTGGTGAAGCCCATTCACACACACATGCACACATGCATGCACGCACATACACACACCAGCAGCCGCAGATTCCCTCCAACGCTCGTTAAGCTTTTTTCTCCTGCCGTGAGCTGCAGCAGTGATTAGCCTTATGCAGCAACTTTCTTCTGTCTGCTGCCTCGTGGCACCGCTGTTTTCACCCAAAAGCGCATCCCAAACCCATCGATCTGAAATGTCAGTTAAGCAAAAATTAGAACATGCATGCACAGAAACAGACACACGCACTAGAAAAGTCCCACACAAGCATTGCAAGAGGTGCTGAACATGTGTTGGGAGCTGTGGAGGGAGGGGCAGGCTGCTGCAGTGGCAGGCCGTCAGAGGCAAGTGGAGGCAGAATACCCCCCCTCGTCAACGTCAAAAGCTCTTTGTACCACCAGCTCTTACTGTAGTGTGTGTGGATCACTACAGCATTGTCAAATAGACACAGGGTGACCGTTCTGGACACGGGGGCCATTCTGATCCACAACAATGATTGGAAGTGTGCACTCACCAGTGCACGGCAGCAGCACCAGCAAACTGGATCTTTCTGTCATGATGGAGGTGAAAATCCCCTGCACGAGGAGCCACAAACGAGAGACTTGTTTTGGTTTGGTTTTGGACAGATTTACTGCCAGTGTGGATTTTTTATTCAACTCACTCAGAGCAGGGGGAAGCAGCGGCTTCAGAACACAGTAATTACATGAGACGTAAGCCGCTGCTGACTGGAACTCACGTTTAGGTCCCAGCATGGTGGCAGTCTGGGGAAAACAAATTTAGTTAGGCATTTGATGTACATTCTGACTCAAATTACACATTTGTGTACAGAAAATGACTTTTCAATCTGTAATGTGAACAAATAAGACACAAGCTTTTTCTAAATTTCCACCACTTCAGCTGCTTTTCTCGTCCCTTTTGAAATATTTCCTGAATTTCTGCTGGAATCCTGTTATGTGGTGTGTTCAGCCATGGTCATCAAACGGCCGTCAGGGCTCACATTTCTGTAGTTCCCACTGTTCTACTGGGTTGTGTGTGTGTGTGTGTGTGTGTGTGTGTGCGTGTGTGTGTGTGTGCGTGTGTGTGTGTGTGTGTGTGTGTGTGTGTGTGTGTGTGTGTGTGTGTGTGTGTGTGTGTGTGTGTGGAATTGGCAGTTTAGTCTGAAACCTGGTTTTGCTCACACACACTTTCTCTATGGGCCAAATCCAAGTGTAAACAGGCAGAAAAGAGACCGATATAAAGTTTCAAAGGTGCAGACGGGAGAGAAACAGCCGAGCTGGACTTCAGCTCTCCAGTCGCTCTGGGTCGGGTCAAGCGAGCCTGCTCTTGTTCTAACGTCTGTCTGCGATGCAGACGAGGCAGAAACGTGTGGTGAGTGGGTCGTCTGTGTAGAGTTAAGAAGTGTGGAAGAGGAGAGGTGGAGATGTGGCGAGTT